TTCCAGGAAAAGAAAACAGCCTGGGTAAAGGCACAATAACAAGAAAGAGACTGAGTTTTCCAAGATTTAAAAGAAGCAGTGGTTAGCAAAGGGTGGAATGGCTAGAGACAACACTGTAGGGGTGAGCAGAAGTCAGATTTGGCAGGGCCTTGAAGATGTTAGTAAGGACAATGGATCTTATTTTCTGTAAGTCACCGCAGGGTTTTAAGCACTGAAAGGTTTACAGTGTTCCAAGGGTAATTCTGGTTGCACTGGAAAATGTACTGAATAGAGGATGGATAGGTGAGAGACGACGGTGGCTTAAACTGGGGCAGTCACAGCATAAATGGAAAGAAATAGATACATAGTGTTGGACCTAAAGTCTGCCTCTCCATGCTCCTCACTGATGGTTTCACTGATGACCCCAAAAATGAAGTTAGGCCTAACCCATATTTGAGTCTCATGGGAACAAGAACTTTGTTTCTGACTCCAAATGATGGGCTATGTGAAAGTGGTTCTGCAGCCCTGATCTGTTGCCCTTTCCACAAGCAAACTGAAGTCCCAGAGATGACCTAGGAGTCCCATCCCAGCTAAGGGATGTGCACCGGTTCCCTTAATGGCAGCTCACTTCTCTTACGTGCTCTGGATCTCATCAAGTGAAACCTGCATCCGGGCACCTCGGCCAGACTTCCCATTCTCATCCATAGACTAAGGTTCTGTTTTAGTCCCTATGACAGGTAGACTGATCCTTGAGAATCATGACAAAGCCAGGGTCACAGTTCTATCACCATCAGAGCATGTCTAGCTCAATAAATATTTGCTGAATGAATGAACAAATTAGCCCTATTTGGGAGATAGGAATCCCCATTTTCTAAGAGGGAAAGTGAGGCTCATACCAGTTTTGGCCAAAATGACATCAACATTACGTTAATGCACACTCAGGTCTCTGACCCCAGATTCCATTAAAATTTTAGTCTTTTTAGACAAAAGCAAAATAAAACAGTTAAGTATGGATGTTTCAGGGCCCATATACAATAAATGTTTAATAGGAACACTCAGTTTTTCCTCATTCATGAGATGCCTTAAAAGATAAATTGTGTTTATTATTCACTGCTTCCAAATTTTATTTCCTGATAGACATATATAGCACCTCTTGGATATTCTTTTTAATCTGATTTTATAAAAACAATACATCATCTTAAACATTAAATTAGTCTTTTACCAACTGAGATGGTACTGTTCAAGTAATATTACATATGCACACACTGAAAACCTGAAGAAAAATGATACAGAAATTTAAAAATAGGGAACCTGTGTTTTATAGTTTGGTTAAATAAGAAATTAAAATTAAATGTGATTTCAGAGCTTTATAATTTTGAACATAAGAAGCAGTATCCTCACGATCTAAGTAACATAATTTTCAAGTTGACTTCCTTTGACATTACAATGAACATGATAGGAACGACAGGACCCCCTAGCCTCACATATGCAAAAGCACTAGAGTGTCAATTAGTCAACTCTAAGCCCTAAGGAAGATAATTTGCTAGAGAATATTCTTTGTAATTCATAATTTTTAAAAGCATTGTATAAATATTAATGACTAGATACTTTAAATGTTATACTCACTCTTTCATGATATTTTTCGTTCTTTTCCCTAAGTTTTTTTATTTGAGCCATGACTCGTTCTACTGCATTTTCTCTTATTTGACAGCTGATAATAAACAAAGATGAGATGTGTTATAATTATTTATCTTAGGAAAAATTAATGAGACAAAATTTAAAAATTAACTACTTGAATTTAAACTATTAAATATATTATGAAAATTCCCATTTAGGGATAAGAACCTTTCTTAAGTGATATTTATTTAACTCACTAAAATATATATTAGAAAGATAACTTCAGGTTTTTAAAAATTAATCCCCCTTTGTATTTCACGCTTATAACTTTTGTACTTTCTAAATGTCTCTAAAGAAATCAGCTTAAAGGGAATGTAGGAGAGGGCACACAGCAAACATGGTATCTGGACCTAAAAAATTCAGATAAAATGACAAACAAAACAGACTTTATAAGGGCAAAAACATCTTGAAATAGTAAGATAAGCTAGTGTGCATAAAATTGCAATATTTCCAGAATCTCTCGCCTGGCTTTAGTGCATCACCCCCTTTCTACCTTTCTACAGCTTTGTGAGACTCCTTTCTGTGTCTAGATGGGATGCTACCCAAAGTCACGAACTTTTGAATAAAGCCAATTTGATCTTTAAATTTACTCAGTTAAATTTTTGTTCTTTAACATTACCTAAAGCTTAGGTGGGCAAAAAATTTTGAGGGAGTGCCTTTTTTACTTCCCATTTTTAAGGAGAGAAATAAAAATAGTATAAGTGAAAATAATCTAAAAAGAGCCTATGCATATGTGTGCCAACTACACAATTGGTGCTATTATAAATATAGTAACCTAATTATCTGCATAGGTGGAGCGACAAATGAATCTCAAGTGTGTGGTGTCCGAGAGTTGAGACTGAGTCTTTGGATGGGCTTCAGCTTAGAGCCCGCCCTCCTTGGTGATGACTGAGCAGGCAAAGGTAGGGTTGGAGACTGTATCCAACCCCAACCTGAGATACTGCATAGGGTACAATTTTACTAAAACTATTTGTTTATCTCAAATTCAAATTTAATTGGGCATTCTGTATTTTTCTTTGCTCTATCTGGCAACCCTACACTTCAGTCTAGCACCCCTCCCCTCAGAGCAGTTAGGAGCCAAGGACCTAGGGCTTTGTCTTGTATTCCTTCTGTAGTAAGCAGTTCCAAATGATCTGAGTGGCATCAGCAGGCCTTGGGAATTCTGAGATGCCCTAAAGGTTCTGGCAGTCATTGCCCCCCTTGTGGAGCACATGCTAGTTGCTGGTCTAATTTAGCTGAGACTCTCCTTGAAATATACTTCAGATCTTAAGATCTTGCAAAGAGATGGATTTACCATGAGGCAGATAAAGCTGAACTTCAGAACTCCACACTACTAGACCCTGAGGGAATGCAAGCTTCACTGTTTTCTGTATATTTTCCTTTTCATATTTCCGTCAGATGCTGTATAACCCACATGTCACACTAAATGCTGAAGCAAGAGGGATTATAAGCCAATGAGGTAAAGTATATTAAAGTGGTTTGAAAGAGAGTACTGTTCTAAAGCACAGTGCTATGAAATTGTTAGTAAAACCATGTGTCACCTTTCTCCTTCCCTCACTGTATTATTAAAACATTAGTAATGTGTCAACTTTCTTCCACCATGCAATTTTATTGAAAACTCTGGGTGGGAAAACCTGGATTAAAAAAAAGTCTACACTTTTATCTGCTTTTTTTTTTTGCCCATGATTATATCCACACCTATTTCTATATACCCATACTCATGGCAGAAAACTGGGGAGAAAGCAAGTATAAAGGAAAAAATAAAAACCACTATTACCTAGAGATGATCACTTTATAGATTTAATATTGGCAGTCTCAGCTCTTTACAAACAACTTAGGGATTCATGACCTTATTTTCTTGGAACAGATTTTTTTAAAGTTCAATTGTTCAGAAATCATTGACTGTATACTATGTGCTCTCATCTCTTCATTAGGAATTAAGATTGTGTAAGAGAAATATAAGATGCTGCTAGGGGACCAAAGGACAATCCTTCATCAGATGTTGAAGGGGGTGTCTTGGCTATTTGTCATGTGACAAAAGTTTTGTCACCTGGGAGCATGTGGAATGAGTAAAGTGTCACTAGCAAAAAAGCATGGTGCAGGAAGGCCTTGGCTGTTCCAGTCCATGGGATTATTTATTTAGTTTCAACATAGGAAAGAGGACAAAGCATGGAATATTCAAATCATATCTTGTACTAGATCATAAGAATTTTTTAATGTTTGCTTCTTTGTAAACCTCTGTTAAAAAGGAGAAAGACTGGCCTCTGGTTGACTGAAAAGAGAGAGAAAAAGTTGTAATTGGATGTCATCACTGAAACCATGGGAGCAAATTAGAGCCAGGTTGGACTCAACAGAGCCTGACTTTTTATCTACCTCTCCCAGGAAGACATGAGAGAAGTTTTCAGTTGTGTTGAGAAATGAGTATGGATAGTATCTAGTTATTACTTAATGTCATCTTAAGTAGAAAATAAAAGGGAACTTTCTTAAAAGTCCTTTCCCATGGGTCTTTCTCTCTTAGTGTTCTGAGGCATTCACTCTTTGCCTTTTAAAAATAACTTTTGAATAGATTTGGAGTCTCTCAAGAAGAGGGAGATGGATTTTCCCTGAAAGGTGTTAAAAACAGTTCTCTTAAAGACTAGCATCATCAGCCCCACCCTTTCAGCCTTGTCCCTCTCCAGTAAATGCTTCCATAGGGAAAATGGAAATTCCATGGCCAGGATTCTCACTTGATTCTAATCTTGCCCACTGTATATATGCGATGAGGTAATACTTAGCCTGTTTCACAGGCACCTACTTGCATACCCGTTGGCAGTAAGCTTTTTATGGGCTGATATTACTTTAAGAAAAGCTCCATCCAGTGGTAGAATGGAGCCCAAAGCAGAAGCAGAGAGCCTTGAGAGAAGCAGAGAGGGAAGCAGCAGAACCCTGTGCTAGGAAGAGAGAAGGGAGCCTGGAGAAGAGGGGAGCCGAAGGGAGTGGAGCAGGAGCCAGGAGCGGAAGCAGCACCAGGCAGCACATGGGGAGCAAAGGCTGGAGCCAGGCCAGAGACAGACATGGGCTTGCCGCTTGTAGGCAGCCAGGTGACTGCCGTAAGAATAAAGCTTGGTATGAGCCCCTTTCTACTGACAACGGAACTGGTCTCCATGAAATCATAGTGAACTTGCCCAGAGCTGGGAACCCCCTCCTCCCAGAGCTACAGCTTCCATTCCCCAATCTTGAGTGTTCCACAGGGCTCTGCTTATCTGACCCTCACCTAAACCACCAGAGTCAGCTCCTGCCCTCTCCCCCACACTCTGCCTTCTTTTAGTTTCTGGACGGTGAAAAGCTCATCTCACTCCAGCATTGTCCAAAAGCCTCTCTCTCCTCCACTTTGTCTCCATAATACCTGTCCATCTTCCAGAGCTAAGCTCAAACATTGCTTTCTCAAACAAGCTTTCCCTGACTCCCCTTAATACAGGATGGGGACCTGAGACCAGCATCATGATTAACTTTTCGAACATGCTGAGATATAAACAGTATAACGGGGGATTTTATCTTAAGGCTAAGATTCCATTTTAAAAGCCAGGAAGTTAGGAAGTAAGATACCTAACATATTCTTTAGCAAACAGACAATAACTCGGCCCACCTGTTAATCTGGGGAGGGGGAAAATCCCAGGGCAAAATGCTTTGAAACCAAAATCAGTCAAAAGGAGAAATAAAGTTTCAAACCCACATATTGCTTATAAGGAGTCTTTCCACGTCTCTCCCTCCCCTGCTGTGGCAGAAGCTAGTGAATACAGCTCCCTGCCAACCTCTCAGGTCCAGATAAACCCTTGCTCGCCCACGTAATTATCCATTGATATGGAGATGGTACTTTTCTCCACCCCTTGGAAACGCCTGTTGATATGTAGATGCACAAAAGCCAGGTGAGAGATTCTGGAAATATTGCAGTTTTACCCACACCACCTTAGGGACAGGGCTGGCGGTCTTGATTGGTATGTTCCCAGAGGGAAGCTGCTATCCTGGGGAGGAACCGGATCAGTACATTTCTTGTGTTACTTTTGCAGAATTACCTGGAGTACTGATAACAGGGGATACATGGTGTCTCTCACCAGAGATAAGCATCCTGAGACCACTTGACAAGTTTATACCCCCTGGCCCTTTGAAAAATCTTTAAAAGAGGGAACCCCCAACCTTTCAGCATGCTTCCTCTCTGAGGACACCCACACCTTTTTCTCTCTTTAAGTGTGTAACTTTAAATAAAGCTTTCTTACTGCTGAACCTAATCGCATTTTGTCTCTCTGCACTTTTCCAATGGTAAGCATCTTTGTTTCTTTGCTATTTCATTCTATTTCTAAGTCTTCACTCTTGTCTCTGCTTTAGTCCTGATAAGAGGGAAGGGGCTGCTGGGAGCTCAGATTTGGGCCTTGCAAGTTCCCATCACCTGGGTGACCCAGAGGGACCTGCAGCTGCAGGAGCTGCCTGAAAATCTCTCTTTGGAAAGCTCTCAGAACACAATCTCACTCCATCCTGCGCTCCACAGCTCCCCCAAATTCTGGGGTGGTAGGGGCTAGCCCCCACGCCGTGCAGATACAAGTAGACACGAGAGGCCAGGTGACCCTGGCTTCAGGAGCTGGCAAGGGAGATTTCCCTATGTCAAGAAGTTCCCCAAGCTCCTGCTCCCTCTCTCTGCACTTTCCTGCCCTCAGCTGCCTACAAGGCCACTGCCATTCATTACTACTCTTGCTCTAATGAATTTCTTCTCTACCTACACTCTTCCTACCTGCTCGAAAATTCTTTCTTGTTCAGAGTCAAGAAACCTCCTCCATCCAGGCTGAAGTTTTACCTGGAGCACAGGGAGAGACCTGCCAGATGCAGCTGCCAGGCAACACTCTGACTGCATCAAGTCCGTTAGTTATACCATTACACAGCATCCTTCACTTTTCTTTGAGAGCACCTTAATTATAGCTATGTCATTTTTTTTAAAAAGCTTCAATCAGTTGTTTAACATCTGTCTCCCATGCTTCATTGGGGCAGGGACCATGTGGTGCTTTGCTGTACAGTTGTCTTCCAGGACCCAGTACTTACCTTGTAAACATTCAAGTAGATATTCAATAAGTACATGAATGAAGTACATTTTTATTTGGGAAAAGACTGACATGTATTCATTCACTCACTAAGGATTACACACAACTCCTACCCCACACTGAAAGTTGAGGTTCAAAAGCTCCCTAGGGGCTTACTATCCATTAGTTGGATAAAACAAAAATATAGGTGTTACATCTAGTTTGTCTCTAGCTCCTGAGAATGAGACATTAAGAAATATTATTATTATTGAAAATAATTCTAAATCATTTGGATTTGATCTGTAGCCATTTGGGATAATGCCAATTGGAATGTCTAGAATTGGAAGAAATTTAAACAAATTTCCTCTTTTCCTTTTCTATAAATGTATGCTAACTCTTCTATGTTGTATTTTAAGAGGTAAGCCAGCAAGCTGTTGGGTATATATGGAAGAGTGGCCAGTAATACAGTGGGAGGAGAGAGAGAGCCCAAACTACTTAGAATGCTGTTTTATAGCTACTACTTGGACTATTTATAGTTAAAAAGTTCCAAAAACTTTAAAAAATCTGATCATAGCCCAAGAGTGCATTATATCTCCAATCTACCTCCAATCTAGTTCCCCTGACAGTTTTGAGTGCCTGATTTTCCATTTGGGGTTATATGAGTCTAACAACAATTGGCATTTACATCTGGGAAACTGGATTTCATAAACTAAGCTTACTGATAGTCTAGAAGTGCTTCACTGGTAGGCAATTTGACTTCTTTGGGTGGCTCATCTTGAATGTCCTTTTTATTTGTTTTCGCTGTGTTTTGCATTGTGTTGCTTAGCTAGTAAGAAATATACCTGTTTAGAAAAGAGACAGGAAAATAAATTAATTCTGTCTGCCCCTCTACTTGTATTAATTCAAGATAAGTTACTGCAGGACTCAATTTAAAACTGGCTTGTCCATTCAGACTGCTTCTGTCTCTCCAGAGCTAACATCCACAATTCTGGGACTTCACGAATGGAAGGGAGTCTTGGGTCTGGTGAGTTACATGTTGAGCCCAGGCACAGCATTCCCCAACCTGAAACTTTCTAACGTATTCACTCCCTTATGTTATTCATCTACATCTGTTGCCCCATCAAGCGGCTTTAAGACCAAAGACGAATTTCTTCAGTCATTTTGTTTCTCCACAGTATTTGGCCAGGGTGCACTGCATATAGAAGCAGCTCAATAAACATCTCTTAATTTTTTTTAATTAGGCAAAACAAAAGCATCACTTACTATGAGCATCAAGAAACTAGGATCCAAAAGAATTAGGTTTGGCCAGAGTTGCTTTAAAAAGCAAATAAAAGTACATATTAAAGTGTTTTTTAAATGATTAAGAGGTTTACAAATGCAAAATAATAATAATGATGAATTATTATTAGCTGTAACTATTTACCAACTATGAATTACTTTTGCATCTAATAATGAAAAATTATCAAAATATTTTTTAAGACGGAAAATCAGGCCCACTTTTCACAGATTTTTATAGTAAGCAGCAGCACTTCATGGATTTGGTATGGGCAACTAAATATTTCTCAGGTTATAGTCTTCCTTAATAGATTTTTATCTTTTAAGTTCTCATTCATCTAAAAAAAAAAGTCTCTAATCTGGGGACTTTTATGTAGGCAATGTTTTAGTAGTTGAGTACAGTAGAAAGAACATAACCTTTGTAATTATTTGTTTAAATGGTTAGAAACTCCATTTGGGGATATAATTCTAGTATTTCCCTACCTAGAAAATTAATGCACAATAAATGCTTGTCAAATTAATAAATGGATAGATGAATTAGGCAGTTGTGTTTTAATCCTAGATGCACCACCTATTTTTTTATGTGACCATGTGTAGGTTATTTAATCTTTCTGAGCTTCAGTTTCATCATTGGTAAAGTGAGAACAAAAATCTTATTCTAGAAGCTGTTGTAAGGGCTAAATAAGTTAATGTTTAAGGTAGTGTCTGATATATAGAAGGAGCTTAATAAGTATTATGCCCCTTTAGTTAAAGTTCCAATCATGCTTCTTCAAATTCCAGGTACCTGTAAAGCAGAGGATGTCTATCTGCTGCCAAGTACAATGATATGTGTAAAGTAATCCATGCAGTTTGCACCCCTGATTTGAGTCACTGAATTGGCAATCTACGTAGATCTTTAAAATGACTGTGGAAAATCTCTCTGAAATGAAAACAGTTTTCCTGTGGATACACTGCTCACACACAGACCTCCAAAGAGGCTTAGTCTTTGTGTTTGAGACATTTCTTTACCAACCAAATATGTTTATATTCTAATGAGGATATGTGAACACAAATATATTACAATACTTTCCAACCAAAAAGCCCACAGGTGACACAACAAAACTATTTAATACCTTAAGATAAGGTAATGTATTAAGTAGCATCTTTCCAGATATTGAAGTATTGAGACTTTCCATAACCTACGTACCAAAATGTGTCATTATACCATCACAGTTCACAGAAACTAGTCAGCTAAAACAAAATTGCTTTTGTTTCAGATGCAAAGTTGAATTGTCATATTATTTTGTTTTATAATAAGAATTTTTAACCTATTGCACAGAAAGATGGCATGCTGACCAGTGTTACAATAACTCACTATAAAACATTTTATTTATAAATTAAAACAAATGTCAACATTAATCTCTAATTTTCTTTCTGATTAATATGGAAGAAATCAAGTGTTATGGTTCCCACCTGTGGGATGCATCTGGTGCTTGGAGAAAACATGACCTCATCTTGTGGAATGACCTCTGTTACCTGGCTCTTACATTTTCAGCTCTCTGACTAATGTACAGTTAGTTATCTAACTGTAATTCATGGCAAAGGATTTTAATAAAATATGAGCAAAAATATGGATCCACCAAGCACAAATGATTTATGCATAAACCATACTGTTTTCTGTACTTTCCAGAAAATTAGTAAGCCAGTTGGATTGCCTGCTTTATAGTTGCATTTTTGCAATGACCTAAGGCCATCACCTCAAAATGTACTTTTGCATTTGCCAATCTTTCACTAACAATGGGGATTTCATAAACATTTACAAGGGCTTACAGTTCCTAACCACCTAGGGGACTTCTATCTCAGTAAAGGGTGAGAATCCAGAAGAATATTCATAAAGTAATATAACTATCTTCCAGGAAGATTTCACTTTGGATAATTCCTGACAAATGGAGACCAAATTTGTCAGTAACTACAAACCTTTATTCAGTGCCTGATCTTAGCATGGCACTCTACCTGGCCCTTAGTTATAAAATACAGAAGAGACAAGATCTCTACTCAGACTGATAAGAAAGGAGCATACTCCAGCCAGACTCTAAAAAAATAATAAGCAACTTCAAAAAGACTTTAGCAAAATTGTGCAGGTAACGAATGCTGCAGAGATCTTTGCCCACAGTGTGACCTTTGTGTCTGTTTTCCTCTCCCAACTCTGGGCATTCAGTATCCCAAGTCCGTGGAGTGAGGGTGGGTGAGGAGGCTGGGTTTGATCACTTTCTCTATAATCACTTTCTGTCGGAAAATGTTTCAAAAAATATTCCCCAAATGCTTCTCAGTGAGAAGAAATCTGTTTAGTAAAAATGGACATTTAATAGCCACTTTTTCAAATGTACTGTTATCCCTACCCCCAAATGCTTTCCTTGACTCTGTAACATTACTCAAAAGCCAGAGAGTGCATAGCTTCCTGAGCAGTCGCAGGATCCTCAATCAATATCTAGAAATCTCCTAGTGCTTTTTCTGTGACATTGTGGGGCCTTGACTATCCAGAGCCTCCTAATAACTCCTTTCATAATTTTGTGGAGGCTGGGAGGCATGGCAGTTCTGTCCTAACACCTTCCTGGACATTTGGAATGGATCCTGACATTGGTTAGCTAATGTTTTATGTAAATGTAGATTAAAACAGAAGATATTTGCTTAACACCTTCCTGGACATTTGGAATGGATCCTGACATTGGTTAGCTAATGTTTTATGTAAATGTAGATTAAAACAGAAGATATTTGCTTAATAACATTAGTAGTAGAAGAAAGTTCTGAATAAGATTCCATCAGGGATTGAGAGAATGATAAGGTTAAAACATCTTTACATGGGTGTTGGAAGTCTTGAAGTCTAGTTCTGACTCTGCCATTAGCTATAGTTTATAGTTTCATTTTTGCAATGACCTAAGGCCATCACCTCAAAATGTACTTTTGCATTTGCAAAATGCAAATGCGTAAGTCTAATAATTAACAACAGCAGCAATAATAATAATACAGTACTTCCAAAAGCCTTGGTTAAAGAGCAGTCTAACTTAAAAGACATGTATCTTACTATAGTATTCATTGCACTATATGTTTAAAAACAGTCATGGCACTCATCTTCAACAAAATATAACTAGTGAATATTAGTTAGTGAATAACAACTAACTACTTCAACAAACCCTCACCTTTGGGAATTCAAAAATGGATATTGGCACTTAGGCCAACATCTCCCGTGGATACAAACCAGATACTCAATAAACGTCTGATGTGAATGACTGCCTTATAAGTAATGCGTGCTCCCTTCTTTAACAGTGGCCCTATTTCATAATGTTGTATATAACCTGCATTTGGTAAGTAACATTTTTAAATTCAAATTCTCACTTATGCCAGAAGACATTTTAATAAAATTTTTGTTTTAGAGATGCTTTCCAGCATGTTTTTTTTTTAAAAAAAACAACTGAATTTAAAGACTTTCAGTAGTGCTATACTAAAAGTTAGCTTTAAAAAATTTCAGACTTCTTTTTGTATAGATTATGTATATATAGGCCACAATAGCTTTAAAATGTAAAATACAGCCAGTTGGGAGATACGGTAAACAACCATATACAAATCAAGTTATTTAAAAATATCTGGATGAAGGACATTTTTAACTTTCACTCGCATGATGGATGATGTGCATTATATTACCATATATTCTCTTTACCAATACAAATCCTTTGGTCAGTGGCATATTTTTGAATTGTAGCTCGCAAATTTTACTGGATTCTTCACTTACAATTTGGTCTATCTTCTGATCCAGAACTGCTAATAATAGTTCGAAATGCGGCATATTATACTAACTTCTCTAACAACCAAAACTTCATTTTTTCCCAACTCTTGCTGTCCTTCAGTTTTAGAAATATCAAAAAAAAAAGAAAACAATCATGAAAACAATAGTGTGAGGTAATAGAAATACATGAAGTATACTTTCATACTCTCATGATGAGAACAAAAAGGCTTGTATCTGCAAAGAGCAGTGGTGAATATAAAGAGGATCTCCTGGGCAGGGTCTTGTGGGTGGAGAGACGGATAACCATGAGCAATTATCACACACTGATAAATACTTAGCACTATTATTTTCCTTCTCTGCCTTCACAGAAATCTTTTTTTTTTTTTTTCCCCTTAAATGGTACATATCCCACCTCTCAACCACTTCCTCAACTCTCTCCGCCCAGCAAAGACTTAATTGTCCGGGAAGAAGGGGAGTGAGGAAACAAGACACCATACAAATCCAACAAATTAGTAAAAGAAAGAAACCCAGCGTTCTGTTCAGAAGGATGTTGTAGCAAGAAGGGAGAGGAGCTGAGACCTCAGGACTGGAAGGGTGCGGGTGAAAGAACACTTATGAGGGGCTCTGTGCTGGCACCGAGAAGGATGCGGGGCTGGGTGAGGTCCGCACTCGAAAGGCGTTCCCCAGATTGGGGGATCCCGTGAGCCGGGCACTAAGCGGCAAAGGCTTGAGGCCCGTCCTAGCTCCTCCACTGCTGCGTTTATAACCGTGGACCAATC